TCTAGGGCGCAGAAGTACACTAAAACGGAAAGTCGCTTTTTTAAAATATGTACATGTATGAGCCTTCCAGAAGTCAAATTCATCACCAATTTCGGCCTTCTAACTTGTGTCGAAAATGCCTAGTGGTCTGGTAGATTGCGAAAAGTTTTTGTCCAAAAGTAGAATATCCCGCCTCTGCTGGGGCAAGTCTTTTTAAGGAAAACGCAATCGGTTTCCAAGCGTTTTCAACAAGTTTGTTAAGGTCACTGACTACTACTTTGTTCGGAGCGTCCACCATTAAAGCCATTGTGGAATAGAAGTCCGGATACGTCAACGTAGATGTTCTAGCTGATTTATTTTTTAGCTGTTTAACTGTCTCGGAGGTCAACCTGAATTCCTTTGGTTTTACTTCAAAGTAGCTTGTAATGCCCATACGGTCATCGATCGCCTTCAACTTTCAATGGCACCACATGCAGAGGGAATGCCTACTGGCTATAAAATGAACGGAAAATATCCAGTTGTATCAAGTGGTCGAATTCGGCTCTAAAGATTTTAAGCTTATCTGGAATTAGTTTACCGGGTCTAGCAAACACAGGTTTGCCTTCAGATTTGATCGTGCGACCTACCTGTAGTATACATTCGAAAGCCTGAGGGTTCGGTTTGAATTTGGAAATTCCGCGAGTATATCCTGGAAATTTGCAGTTCACACTGCCTGAGCTATTGCCAAATTTAAAGAAGTGATGTGAAATTATTTGAATTTCGTGTAGCTCGTAGAAGGTGATTCCCCTGAGTGTTAACTGTAGCCGAATTAGAGAAGGCAATTCTAGGAATCGAATTTCTAGAGATATAAATTTCGAGTCAACAAGAAAACAGGGAACTCCGCATATAGCTTTTATGGGGTTATTATCGGTCTAAAGACAGGCTACAAGAAGAGGGTTGCGTGTGGGCTCGTCAATACCACACCTTAAAAAAAGATTGTCAAAGAACGCAAACCAGAATAGATAAGTGGACAAGCAAGTGAGAAAGAGCATTAGAGCTGACAAGGAGAAATACGTAGGAGACCTAGTAATGACAGTGGGAAAAACCGAACTAGGGTAAAATATGAAACAACTATATTACATGGCGAAGAAACTAGCAGGGAAATATAGCAAACCAGAGAGACCGGCCAGGTACAAAGAAGGCAATATAATCACTGAGATTCAAGAAAAGAGGAAGAGGTGTGTAGAACACTTTGAGGGACTCTTGAATGGACATGCCTCCACTGAACCTAGCTCCATTTAATCAACCGAACACCGAAGCAGCACACACAGACCTTCCTATAGATGTCAGTTGACCAACGACGTAAGAAATCACGATGGCCATCAGACAAATTAACAGTGGGAAAGCACCAGGATCTGACGATATGCCCGCCGAAGCACTCAAGTCAGACATAACAATAACTGCAAACATACTCCACATTCTTCTTAGGAAGATTTGGGAGGAAGAACAAGTGCCGACAGAAATACTGGAAAGAAGGACACCCCATCAAGATACCAAAGAAAGTAGATGTGAACAAATTTGAGAGGACTACAGAGGCATCACACTATTGTCAGTATCAGGAAAGGTTTTCAACCTAGGTTTGCTCAACCGGATGAAAGATTCAGTAGACGCCCATCTTCGAGATCAGCAGACTGGATCCCGTAAGGATCGGTCGTGCACAGACCGAATTACAACACTACGGATCATCGTTGAACAATCAATTGAGTGGAACTCACCACTATACATCAACTTCCTTGACTATGAGGTGTTCAGTAGCGTGGATAAAAGAACCTTATTGAACGTTCTTCGACACCATGGTGCATCTGAGAAGACCATCAATATCATAAGGAATTCATACGACAGACCACACTGCAAGGTTGTGTATAGAAGACAGCTGACAGATGCATTTCAAGTGAGGACCGGAGTCAGACAAGGCAGATTGCTCTCTCCCCTTCTCTTTCTTCTAGTGGTTGACTGGATAATGAAGACCTCCACATCGGAGAGAGCATGGAATACAATGAACAGCTAGGAACCAATTACACGACTTGAACTCCGCAGATGACCTGGCCCTTCTTCTATCTCAAACACACCAACAAATGCAGATCGAGACAGCCAGTATAGCAGCAGCAGCAGCTTCTGCAACAGTAGACCTCAACATACCCAAAAAAATGCGAGATCCTCAAACACAACACGGGGAACACCAACTTAATCACACTTGATGGAGAAGCTCTGGAAGATTTGGAAACTTTCATGTAGCTGGTCAGCATCATCATCAATGAACAAACTAGATCCAGTAAGTATCATTAGTTGAATTTACCGCCTGCTGTTTTTAACTTCTTTGAGACCATGAAGTGCGTCTTTGAGCTGCTCAAGGTTGTGAGTCACTTTTGTTTGCTGAACCATATGGTTGAATAGAAGAAACGAAAATTGAACAGAAAATTGACATTAATATTCGTAATATCAATGATGGAGCAGTATTTTACAAATAGGTGTAGGACATTAGATTTCTTGATTTAAGAGTAAGGCTAATAAGAGTCATGTTGGAAAGATCTCTCAATCCCCCTGTATTCAGGGAGAATTTTCGTCTGTTTCGGGAAAATTTCTAATAAATGTCACGAAAACCCGGAAATTTTCCCAAATCGCTGAAATTCCCTTGAATTTTGAGGCAATGTTTCTTCAAACTTTGGGAAAACTGTTAATTGTCATTGAACTTTGGGGAAAACCCCAAAATCGGGAGATTGAGTATAGTCTCTTATGTGGCATTGTATTCACGTTGTCTAATAATTTATTCGTTATACGTCATCTAATGCAGTAGCAAAACTTGCACTTACACTACTATAGCAAGAGATAGGCGTTTTATTGACTGGTGAAATTTCTCGGTTTGGTAGTTGCCCACTTTTAAATTGCCCATTACATGAATTGGAGTAATCTAGCGGTGGAGTGGTATGCGGAAATAGTATCAGTATGGTGTAATAGAGGTCAGAGTTACCTGGGATATCAGATTCAGATTTGTGTAGTTAGGACAGAAGGCCTACGGCCTGTTATTCCTTTTCTAGTATGCTTCTGTGAGTGTTCAGTCTTCTCTTGAAAGAGCCAATTGAAGGTGCGGACATCACTGCTTCAGGCACCAGGTTCCAAGTATTGATAACGCGGTGTGAAAACCTGTATGCCACGGGTATTTTGTTCGTTCTTGGCTTTTCTACTCACTTGCTATGTCCTCTAAGGTGTCCCGATCTAGTGGGAAGAGAGAGAATAAGCTAGGCTCGAAATCATTTCTCAATATTCTGTACATCAAAATTAGATCTCCCCTTAGTCTGCGATAGGACAGAGTAAAGAGATCCAGTTTTTCAAGCCGCTCTTTGTATGATAAACCCCGGAGTTCCGGGATTGCACGGATAGCTGCCCTCTGTACTTTTTCTAGTATGTCCGAGTCACCTTTTAAACAGGGGCTTGCAGCCTGAGCGCAGTTCTCTAGCTTAGTTCTCACTAAGGATGTGTATACTGTGGTGAACATGGTAGTATCTAACTTGGTGAATGTCCTTTTTAAAGCCCAGAGGGTTCGAAACCCCTTGGCTGCGACCTCCCGGCGATGGGCCGTCGTCTTAAGATCATTACTCACTGTCACCCCTAGATCCTTATGAGACCGGACTACGGGTAATGACACATCCCCTATGTTGTACTTATTAACCTTTGAATCCCCCAAGTGCATGTAGACACACTTTTCCGCGTTGATAGGCATCAGCCACTCTTTAGACCAGTTTATCATATTATTTAAGTCTGCCTGAAGAGTAAATGCGTCTTTGTCTCCAGTTATTACTCGCCAAATTTTTACATCGTCAGCGTATAATAACATTGGAGACTGTACTATACTTGTAAGATCATTAACGTACATTATAAAAAGTCAAGGACCTAGGACGGGACCTTGGGGTACTCCACTAAGTACTGGTCTCCAGATGGAGCACTTGGAATTTATTCTTACTTTTTGTCTACGACCTACTAGGAAATTCTTAATCCATTTTAAAAGAGGTCCGGCAATACCAAGGTTTTCCAACTTCAATAGCAGTCTATTAGTTGGCACCTTGTCAAAAGCCTTACTGAAATCCATGTAGACAACATCCACTGAGTTTCCGTTGTCTAGCGCATTAATCCAGAACTCCCTTACTATAAGGAGGTTCGTTGTACAGGATAGACCCTTTCTAAAACCATGTTGTGCCACGTTCAGCAAGTTATTGGTTTCCATAAATGCCGTTATGGTTTGTTTGATTATTCTTTCCAGTACTTCAGTTACCATACTGGTGAGACTTACGGGTCTGTAATTCGATGGAACTTGTCGTGGACCTGTTTTATGTATGGGAGTGACGATTGCGTCCTTCCAGTCCATGGGTAACACCTTGGTCAAGTGACATATTGAATATAACAGTCAGTGGGGCTGCGATATATTGGGCAATATGTCTCAAGATTTTAGGGTGTAGTTCATCTGGTCCTGTTGACTTCTCCATGTTTAGGGTGCTAAGAGCTTTAAGCACATCGTTTCGGTCGAAGTCCACGGTGAGCAGCTGGTTTGACTCTATGTTTGGGTCTGCTTCTTTCTCTAGAGGAAGTTCCTGAGTGAAAACTGCCCCAAAATAGTCAGCCATAGCCTCTGCTTTTTCTTGATCTTCCTCTATCATTTCAGATTCACTTCCTAATCGCCTCTACATTTGGTTTTAATCATCTTCTATTTACATATGAACTTTGCCGCATAAACTCTTATTTCTCCCTTTTAGTCCATACTTAAGATATATTTTGTTCTTTAATCTAACATTTTGTGCTTTCTAGAAATCACAGCTTAATCCAATGAAGTTATTAGCTTTTTCTTGTTCAACCTGTTTCATGCAGTTCTTAGTCGTATTCATTTGTATTCAGGTTTCTCAAAGTCACTATTGTGGTTCGACGCAATCGATAAACAACGTGTTATTCTCGATATCTTCTTGACTGTTCACTGTTACCAGAAGATCAATATCATGAATCTTTCTAAAGATCTTGCACCAAATGATCAAAATAATTTAAAGATATTACGTCAAGTTGAGTTTTATTTAAGCGAAGGAAACTTAAATCGCGATAGCTTCTTCAAACAGGAAATGCAAAAACGAGATGATGGTGGTATCCCAATAGATCTGCTGCTAAAGTGTAATCGTATGATTGCTATGAATGTCACAGAGGATATTCTAAAAAATGTTGTTGGAACATCAAAAATTGTGAGTCTGTCTAATGATGGTAAGTTACTTGCTAGCCGTGATTTTAAAATTGATTGATGCAGTCTGGAAACTTGTTGGTAATTCTGATGAAGAAAAACTTGGCACATTCTTCATCTCTTTAGTAAAATTTACGTTTTTTCTGTATCATTTTACGTATGCATAGTTTTAATACTGTGGTTGAGGTTAACTTGTAGTATTATATTCCTTTTGCTTAAACCAAACTAGGGTTGGCTATTGTCCGAGTATTGCCGTTATCTGAGTTGGGACCTCGTGAAAGGCGAACTATCTTAGTAACAGGACTTCCACGTTTATCCATCGGAATAACTGAAAAAGTAGGTGTGGACAACACTCCTCATAGGCAAAGTTCAAAACCAAGTGAAAATGAGCTGAAAAACATAACCTCAGCAAGTTGGGAACTTGGTGACTGGATTCGGAATGTATTTGAAGAATACGGTGAAGTCCTATTTGTCAGTTTACCTCGGTAAGATCTCATAAATTTACTGCTTCCTTCCCGATTAACTTGTCCAGCACAACACATACAGGGTCTTGGTTTTATCTGTAATTTCTCACAAATCAATTATCGCACACATTTTCCCATTTATGTGAGTCGTCGTTTTAGCTAGATTTGCTAAAATTTCTTTATAAACTTCATTTTACAACCTGGGACTTCCAGTCATCATATAGACCAATTGAACTGGCATCAAAAGACGTGTACTCAGTGAAGTAGACTTTTTATAGCAAGATACCACGTTTATATACAAACCACTGAAGACAAGAATGTATACGATTAGAATTTAGTTAACAACTAGACGATTAGATCATGTATGAACTATAGACCATTCATTCTGAAATAAAATTAATTCCTAATCATCACCTTTAATTCTTGCCATGCCACACTAGAGGTCCCGGAGGTCAACAAGGCAACTCTATCAAAATTTTTATATTGAAGTCGAGTATGACCGTGAAGAATAGTATGTTTCCAGTTGTCATGACCTATGGTAAGACTTCCTAATAAAATTTCAGAATATCATTTGAGAGCTTATGTAGTTTGATGTACTCGTTTAGCCCCCAAATCCCGTGGTACGGCTGAGGATTGGAAGGGTCCGATCTCCCTCTCGAAATGCTCCCACATGGTCACGCGCATACAGCCACCACCAGGGAAGTTCTACTCACTGCCTTCTCGCGGCGGGGATGTTTACGAAATTGAGAGGACAAAAAACGAATGTCCGGCGCTTTACCAGGGTTGCTGGATATGAAGGATCCATCTAGAGAAGTCGAAACACTGATTTCAAACCACTGGTGCACATGGGCTCCAGTATGCTGAAGGAACAAATGGCGTATGAACCTATTGTTGGTCACCGACTACCACGAGACTGCATCTCCTGACTTTATTCCACTGTATTGTGGATCAGACCTTTAGGTCGAAGACTCCTGGTGTGGCCCCCTAAGAAAACCACCTGCATCAGTTTAAGCACCCGGGCACTATTCCAGCCCTCACACAAACCGAATGACGAAGTGGTGCGTCTTCGTACCAATATTTACGCGTTTAAATAATAATAATTAGCAGTTACTTCAAAGATCGCCTCTACCACAATTGTTTTTGGTTAGCGGAGTCGGGCGACAAAACCAATTGCGGTGCACTTCCTACTGCATGATTTTGTTCGTTTCTGTTCATATCTGCTCTTCTTTTTATCATTATTTTCTCGTCTTTGCCGCCCTCGTTAGTTCTTTATTCCTGTAATGATGTGAAGTATAGTGATGCATCTTGGACTCTGCCTAAAGCCAATGTAAGATCTTTGTTCTTGAACTGGACGTATGTTGTCAAGTATTTTTAGTCTTAAATTTCTAGAATTTCCATTAGTCCATCTGGTTACCCTATAAACATCATGGAACTACTTTAATTTCTGTATTAAAAACATAACCAACCCTTATAATGATCTGAGTAAATAATCTTTGGATCCTGTTTCTCAAATAACAAAGTTCATTGCTTAACTTATCTTTGTTGATTCTTTTATGTGCTATAGTAAAGTGTAGCAACCTGGAATGGTGCAGTGCTTTGCGAGGTGTAAAGCTTGTCTAATACTGAGTGTCTAAATATTTAGTTCGTATTTATGGGCGGTCTAATAAGTTTTATCACTTCTTAAATCACTCAATTATTTAGTGGAAAACCAAAATTTTACCTCATCTTCGTTATTCATTGACTACTCTGTCAGGTTTTAAATATGGACACTAATCTACATTGTTCATCATTGTGGTCAGTGCTCAAATCTTAGCAAAAATATCGAGACTAGACGTGGCGATCTCCACCATCGATGGACTCAGATTATATTGCCACTAACCATTGTTGGAGGGACCCGATAGGAAACTCGCTCGTCTTGAAGCACATGTTTAGACTTGGGTCATGATCTAGTTCGATCACGCATATATCTGTGTCTTACTGGATGTAGAAAAGCCACAACAAGAAAACTCCTTTAAGATCAATTTTAGGATTAAGAAGTTCAGAATATATTTCAGGAATAACTAGAGACCGAGCTAGTCAAGCGTGAAATGACCGTAAGCAGTGGTCGGTGACGAAAGCAGCAGATGTGGAAAAGGCAGCAGCGATACGTGACAGTAGACAACTGTGCAAACTTATCAAGTTAACAGGTATTGGGGATCCCATTGTGAGTGAAACTATCTCAAACGAAGACGAGACTGTTATTCACTCTCAATGCAGGAGATTGAACCGATGTGCAGAACACTTTAGGGAATGGTTCAACTGGTCTTCAGCCACACTTTAGTTGCCCACTACCTGGCAAACTGATGTAAGTCTTCCAACTCTTATTGAGGTTGAAAAAACTGTAAGTAATCTAAAGCAAGGCAGAGCCTTAAATACTATCCCCTGAGATTTCTAAGGATGGTAGTCTAGTTTTAGCAGTTAGATTAACTGAAATCTTGGCTAAAGTCTCGGAAGTGTACGTTATCCCATCTGACCGGTCTGGACTGCTGATCGTCCCAGTCCATGAGGAAGGACAAAAATCCTTTTATGACAATCAGTTTAACTAATATAGTGTCTAAAATATTAGCCTCAATAATACTTCGACGTCTGACTAGAGCGAACCCGAAAAACCAGGCCGTTTTCAGACTTGGACGTGGATGTATGGATCAAATATTCAGATTCCGGATCATGGACATACTTTTTGATGTCCGACTAGTTGTATTCCTCGACCTCAGGGCGGCGTCCAACTCCGTTGATCATGAGGTTCTGTGGCAGTGTCTGTTATTGAAAGGCGTACCAAATAAGATTGGTGAGATATTAAATTTTCATCAACTGAGGTGGTTGGGACATGTGTTACGTATGCCTAATCACCGCCTACCTCGATGGGCGATGTTTTCTGGTGTAGGAGTAGGTTGAGAGTCAAGGGCGGCCAAACCGAAATATTTCATTAGTCCATGATGTCACTGACAGTTGGACTTAGCCATGTTGATAGGTGTAGATTATCCGGTTGGAGTCCTCGTGATTATCATAACTAACGGTTAGACTTTGAATGACATGGCTTTATATCGTTTGTAGTTGCACAGGTGCATCCGTTTTTTGTCTTCCCCAAATCCTGAAATTCTAAATTCCTCATAACTATTTTGTTTTCATTTCACTAGTGTATAGTTTCTCTTTGAGTCGTGTCTTTGATGCCTGATCTTTCGTGTTATCATTGATACTGTTACTACCTCTACTATTCTGGGATTCGGTCTGACAATTTCATCTCTCTGTGCTAATGGAATATGGCAACTTGAACCGATGTACATACGTGCCAGGTTCTACGTTGTGATTGTTTGACTGACCTGGATTGACTCATTGCGTCTAATGATATCACAGTATGATGCCAGTGTAATCGAAGCTTTAGACTTGGTGTTTTTGCTTGTTGATACTCATCAGTAAGTCGTGTGTGGCATTTCAAAGATGCTGATGCCTTCTCAGAGTTGTGAGCCGCCACACTTCTTTATCATACTAAGAAACGATAGCACTGAGATATTTCAGTTATGATTGTTCAATTCAATTATTTAAAACCGTATTTGACAGAGTATAGATTTAAATCAACTAACCCGAGTTCACACTATAGAGGTAGAATTTGATGTGCTGAACGTGATACAAGTTGGTATTTTTATTACCCAACGAAGAAATACACTGAAGACTTCATGGAAAATGTGTTGTGAACAATTATACCATACTATGATTGATTGCATAGTAGTAAATTTTCTAAATAACATTATATATTATTGTGTTAATTTTAGTTATCACCACTCTAATTCGTTCCGAGGATTTGCTTTCGTTGAATTCAGAACGTCTAAATCTGCTAGAAAAGCTGTTAAACATATGTGTGTTTTCATGGAAAATGAAAATTGGCTCGTGCAACCTACTGGTAAGTAGTTTATTTTCTACATTTTGTAGTTGTGTATCTTTCGAAATAGTTTCGTTCTACTTTATGTGAAAAATGCTTGTTGTCCTTGATGAAACAACTGTTTGCTTTCAAACGCGATCCAGTTTATTCGTTGAATAATGTTAGTCAGACATAGATTGTATTAAAACATGTTCCAGCAACAGTGGTTGAAAAATTACGTACAGGGAATCCAGAGATAAATTGCATGATAGCTCTACCACGAACTTATATATACTGGCCGCACTTAGACATCCAACTAAAGCAGCTCTCTCGTTAGTGCAATAAATGCTCATTAGCAACAAAAACACCACGAAAATCAGCTGCGGCCATGGTCAGTATCACAGTCACCGTTGTAGTGTATAAACTGATTTTGCTGGCCCACTTCATGGACAAACTTACCTTTTGTTAGTTGATGCGTACAGCAAGTGGCCAGAAATCTCCCTCATGGAACATCCAACTGCAAACTGCGCGGTCAGAAAACTATGTCAACTATTCAACCTTTTCGCAGTTTACTTCTGCTCTCTTCTCAGAATTTTGTCGGCACAACAGAATCAATCATATCAAACACCTCTATTCCATCCCCAATCCAATAATGAGGTCGAAAGCTTTGTTGATATATTCAAAAATGCCCTTCAAAAATTAAAAAAGGTGGAAACCACTGATGATATTTTTGAAAGGTTCTTGTTCATCTATCGTATGTGAAATCTAGTCCGCCAGAGGAGCATCAGTTCTTAAGATTGCTGGTACGTCTTTCTGACATATGCCAAGTCATACGAAACCTAGGTTCAAAATTTCCTTTTGACTATTTGCACGCACTCTACATCTTGATATTTTTTATAAATAGTGTGACGTCGTTTATTTTTATCAAATATCGTTAAACAATACTTGTGTTTTCCAACTTTGACTTTCGGTGGAGTGACCATTTATCTTGTTATTGTTTTATTATTTGAATTTATTTACAAAACAAATAGATACAAAAATATTGCTTTATTCACAGTGGCATCATTTGCAATTCTATTCCTAAATTCACTACGAATTTCTTATTATAGATTTACTGTATTCATCAAGATTATAACTCATGACTGACTAGCTGTGATTTACTCTCAGCTTAATCACTCAGATAAAAGTTTTGGATGGAGTATGTGGTTAGGCCTAAGTTCGTATTGTTAATAAGAATTTTACTTAGATCATATCTCCAAAGCATATTGTCAACCAGTTGGCTTTAATGTCCAGATAGCACTCTTAATGTCGCGAATCCTGCATAATGTCATACATATACTCACGTGTTAAACTGGTTTTTAACTAATTGGTGCGCACTACATGTATTATAGTTTTTTCATACTACCTTTCTGACGGTTGACCCTGAGGAAAGCAAGCATTAACTAAACTAATTATCTGAATATGGTTTAATCATTATACCTTGGAAGAAGCATAACATTCTTATAATTCTCAAGGTAAGAACGTTAGTGTTTAGACAACCACAAGCACTAAGTATATAATTTATACAAAGTAGTTTGATTATTTTATTTTGTAATAAAGTTTCGTTTTCATGTGTTTTTCAATTTACTTAATTCTTTTTATGATCTGTATGTTTATTAGAAACAAATGAAGTATCCGAGTGTCCAGAATCAGCATGGAAACCACGACTTGCATCTAAAGTTTCTTTTTCACCTCAGCAAATGTTAGCCAGACGGCATATTTGGCGCTGTTGCTCTCGAAAGAATAAACAACTTATTGCAGCGTTCAAACATTTACGTCAGGTCGGATACACTGCTAGCAATCCATGTGATAAGGAATGTAAGCTGAAATATATATTAAAGTATTTAATTATTATCTTAATATTCATAAAATTCATTGCATGTTTAACGCTTCCATTGACAAAATGGCAATTATTACTTACTTACGCCTGTTACCCCTCATGGAGGAGCATAAGCTGCCCACTAGCGTTCCCCATTCAACTCTGTTCTGGAAAACCCTTTCCAGTTGCCATTCATCCTCTTGATATCTGCTTCGAATTCCCGAAGCAGTGTGTTCTTCAGCCTTCCTCTTCCCCGTTTCCCTTCAGGATTCCAAGTTATCGTTTGCCTTGTGGTGCAGTTTGATGATTCCCGTAATGTATGTCCTATCCACTTCCAATGTCTTCCCAATTTCCTATTCAGTTGGAAAGTGGTTTGTTCTCTCCCACAGTAGGTTGTTGCTGATGGTATCCGGTCAACAGAAACTAAGTATCATGCGTAGATAATTGTTAATAAATACTTGTACGATTTTGATGATGGTTGTGGTAGTTCTTCAAGTTTCAGCTCCGTACAGTAGAACTGTCTTGACGTTCGTATTGAACATTCTGACTTTGATATTAGTTGACAGTTATTTTGAGTTCCATATGTTCTTCAACTGCAGGAATGCAGCTGATGCTTTGCCAATCCTTGTCTTTACGTTTGTATCCGATACTCCTTGTTCGTCGATGATGCTGCCGACCTGGTACGTGAAAGTTTTCAAATCTTCCAGAGCTTCTCCATCAAGTGTGATTAAGTTGGTGTTCCCCGTGTTGTGTTTGAGGATCTCGCATTTTTTTGGGTATGTTGAGGTCTACTGTTGCAGAAGCTGCTGCTGCTGCTATACTGGCTGTCTCGATCTGCATTTGTTGGTGTGTTTGAGATAGAAGAAGGGCCAGGTCATCTGCGGAGTTCAAGTCGTGTAATTGGTTCCTAGCTGTTCATTGTATTCCATGCTCTCTCCGATGTGGAGGTCTTCATTATCCAGTCAACCACTAGAAGAAAGAGAAGGGGAGAGAGCAATCTGCCTTGTCTGACTCCGGTCCTCACTTGAAATGCATCTGTCAGCTGTCTTCTATACACAACCTTGCAGTGTGGTCTGTCGTATGAATTCCTTATGATATTGATGGTCTTCTCAGATGCACCATGGTGTCGAAGAAGGTCTAGATATGTATGTAATGTTGTCAAGTCACATATGAACAGTTTTCTTATTTATCCACCATATAAATCCGATTACAGTAGCTAAACACTAGAAAAAATTGTTTCATTTTCCTGCATTTATGTCATCTGTGATTGTTATAAGTAGGTATTATTTATATTTTGCTTTATTCATTGGAATTTTTCTTTATACTTAGATTATTCAATTATACTTGGTGATAACTCTACAGAAGCTATACTGAATTATGTTAAAAACAATCGTTCTTATGAACCATGTCAATCTAAACTACGTGTATTTCGTTATTCTGATTGGATATTTTGGAAGCAAAAGTTTTATCTGTGGCAACAAGCATGGATTGCAAGAATGCATCATAAAACTGAATTATTAATGACTAACAAAAATATTAGTAGCAATGATGAATATGATGAGGATGCCACTATGGAAGAGAAAGAATTTTATCAAATAGATTCTGAAATAAATCGAAATTCACTGCCAGTAAAATGTTTAGATGAATCTTCAACTAGACCAAAAGCACTTCCAAATAATTTTGTTCCGAATTCCATTGTTCAGGTTAGGTTTCTTTTTTGTCTGTTTTGTCTTCGCTAGTTAGCTGTATTATTTCTCAATAATTAACCGTATTTCTTTGGAAGGAGTGATTCATTATCTACCCATAGATTTCAAAGAATATACTGTTAGAGAGTAGTAAACGAACTCGTTGATAATACTTCGTATCAAATAGTTTCGTTTTACTTTGCAATCTCATGACACTGGATTGATAGACATATGAATTATGTCATTGCAACTGATTCCGAACCAAGTTACTCAACGTCTGCAACCATCAGTCATGATAATTGCGCGAGTCTTAACCAAGTAGCTTGCATCTACTCACATGGCTCAAATCAACAATAAATAACTTTGTGAACTGATACCACGTTTTTTAATATTACTATTAGAATGATGACGGACAGCAAGGACTTCGTTATAATTGCTTCACTGTAATGTAACAGTCATACTTATTTGAGAATAGCGCTAATACTGTGCTAATTCCGTTGAAATTTTTATCAAGAGGTGGTGAACATATATCATGCTTATCATTTAGCAAATTTTTCATTCTCACTTGTGCTTATTCTTATGTTCAAGATCGTAATTTGTGTATACGATTCATGTAATCCTCACTTAATCAATCCGTTTTCTCCCCAAAAATTGATTTGATTTACTTTTATAATGATTGTGTTAAAGTAGTAGATGTATTCTATCAATAGATATCGGATATTGCGAATGCACTCAGACTGTAAAAAGTAACACTTCAATATATTTTCAGTCACAGTTATTAAATAATTGCACGTCTGCACCGATTCTGACAATCCTTTTTAAACTAAAATTCTGGAGACTTTATTTTATTTTCGTACTTATTCTTTTTTGATAGAATACCCTCGATAATCAAACACTGAAAGAAATATTATTTCTTATTTTCGAGATGTGCAAAATTTCATTCAGTGATTACTCCTATGATGGATTGTGTTACTTTTTTTTAGATATATTGGCCTTCAGTATTGATTCCCAAAGGAGATTCAGCAGATACACATCTGTCTGATGGTCTTGGTGATACACTGATAACACCGAAGAAGTTATCATTTGCTCGATGTCTGCGTATTAGTCTAGAAAAAAATCTTCTTGTTCCATGTAATCTTTTAAAAGATGTTGCTCATGTAGACCCAAACCCTAACCAAAATCTATTGAACTCTGTTAACCAATTTGGGTGTTGTATAATACCAAATACTAATCTAAATGAATCACTTTCGTCAGATGAATTTGTTCCTCTTTTTATTCGAATGAAAAATAATAAAACTGCTCTGAAATTGGTACAATCTGTTAATCTTTCTACAATTCATGGAGTAACAGCACGTATTCTTGAAGGTCCTAATGAACAGGCGTACTGTGATAATATTATCAAATCTAAGTTAAATGCTAGAGAACGCCATCGGACTTCACAATTAAACAAACGTCAAAAACAAAAATCTGCAGATCATCATCCTACATCATTCACTAATTGTATACCTCCAAGTAATAAGACTGATCACAAGCATATTGTATTCGATGAATAAATTTTCACACGCTTTTTGTACATATACTCCGAGATCTATTTTGCATACTAAACTCTAATATTAAACATGTACACAGTAATACTTCTCAAGTTTTTTGCACAAGTAATTTTGTTTGAAATAGCTACTTTACAACGATATACATGTTCATCAACTCCCGATCATAGCTACCTAACCCAGGTCCCTTAACAAGAAATATTCTTCCACGGTGTTTACAACCGGAAATTGCAACCGCCCTCACAATTCTATCAGCACTCAAGATCATCTTTCTAACAGTTAAGTCTCTCCCTCGCCTCTTAATAATCATGCCATCCCCAAGGATAACTTTTCGTATATCTTTATCGTCATGCGCCACCGCTACTAATGATTTGAGTTCATGAAATGTTACTCCCGGTTTCTTGAAACCCTCTCTAAACTATATGTTAGAGCTTTTAATGTTTGAAACTTATACCAGATAATGCAACCGGATTCTTTAGCTAGGACTCTAAAATCTCGCGCCATCGAAATATAATGTGTCTCCAAAACTCACATTCAGGATTCAAGCACAGTTCATTTGATCTCAACTTGTCAATGTAAAAACTTGACACGATTTACTGTTCGAGTATCTGAAGACCCAACTGCTATTTCCCGGGACCTCACTGGTATAGGTATATTACTAAGTTCAGAAACAGAGCAGGCTCTGTTAGATTGGATTCCAATAGATAATCGCTTTTTCGCTGTCTGACTACACGGGACATTTAGAATTCGAGAAGATAAGGACACGCGCCATTAGATTCTGATTGTCACTACCTACGCTCCCACTGACTGCAGCTCGAACTTAAGGATACGTTTTATAGAGAGATGTCCAACCTCCCTCAAAAAGCTAAGCGCTCTGATGTAGTAATAGTGGCAGGTAACGTTAATCATCAAGTAGGTAAATTAAGCTAAACCAAGAGGCACTAAAGCGGATCTGACGATGCTACAGGTCAGTGAACAGATAATTGCGACCGCATGTAGCAGCTATGCTCAAATAACTCTATTTCTGACAAACATCAACTTAAAACAGGGAGAAACAACGTCTGACGTGGCGACCTCCACCATCGATGAACTCAGATTATATTGCCATTAACCATTGTTGGAGGGACCCGATAGAAAACTCGCTCGTCTTGAAGCACATGTTTAGACTTGGGTCATGATCTAGTTCGATCACGCATATATCTGTGTCTTACTGGATGTAGAAAAGCCACAACAAGAAAACTCCTTTAAGATCAATTTTAGGATTAAGAAGTTCAGAATATATTTCAGGAATAACTAGAGACCGAGCTAGTCAAGCGTGAAATGACCGTAAGCAGTGGTCGGTGACGAAAGCAGCAGATGTGGAAAAGGCAGCAGCGATACGTGACAGTAGACAACTGTGCAAACTTATCAAGTTAACAGGTATTGGGGATCCCATTGTGAGTGAAACTATCTCAAACGAAGACGAGACTGTTATTCACTCTCAATGCAGGAGATTGAACCGATGTGCAGAACACTTTAGGGAATGGTTCAACTGGTCTTCAGCCACATATTAGTTGCCCGCTATCTGGCAAACTGATGTAAGTCTTCCAACTCTTATTGAGGTTGAAAAAACTGTAAGTAATCTAAAGCAAGGCAGAGCCTTAAATACTATCCCCTGAGATTTCTAAGGATGGTAGTCTAGTTTTAGCAGTTAGATTAACTAAAATCTTGGCTAAAGTCTCGGAAGTGTACGTTATCCCATCTGACCGGTCTGGACTGCTGATCGTCCCAGTCCATGAGGAAGGACAAAAATCCTTTTATGACAATCAGTTTAACTAATATAGTGTCTAAAATATTAGCCTCAATAATACTTCGACGTCTGACTAGAGCGAACCCGAAAAACCAGGCCATTTTCAGACTTGGACGTGGATGTATGGATCAAATATTCAGATTCCGGATCATGGACATACTTTTTGATGTCCGACTAGTTGTATTCCTCGACCTCAGGGCGGCGTCCAACTCCGTTGATCATGAGGTTCTGTGGCAGTGTCTGTTATTGAAAGGCGTACCAAATAAGTATACTAACATTGTACAGACTCTCAACTTGAACACTACTGGTCGAGTCAGAGCTGATGGCGAACTATCATCGGAATTGGTTGCTTCAAGCGGTGTTCGTCAGGGTTGTGCATTTTAGGACCACGGAGTAAGCCATGACGGGGTTGTGAATAGTACTAGGTAAGGATTTGAAATAGATTGGTGAGGTATTAAATTTTCATCAACTGAGGTGGTTGGGACATGTGTTACGTATGCCTAATCACCGCCTACCTCGATGGGCGATGTTTTCTGGTGTAGGAGTAGGTTGAGAGTCAAGGGCTGCCAAACCTAAATATTTCATTAGTCCATGATGTCACTGACAGTTGGACTTAGCCATGTTGATAGGTGTAGATTATCCGGTTGGAGTCCTCGTGATTATCATAACTAACGGTTAGACTTTGAATGACATGGCTTTATATCGTTTGTAATTGCACAGGTGCATCCGTTTTTTGTCTTCCCCAAATCCTGAAATTCTAAATTCCTCATAACTATTTTGTTTTCATTTCACTAGTGTATAGTTTCTCTTTGAGTCGTGTCTTTGATGCCTGATCTTTCGTGTTATCATTGATACTGTTACTACCTCTACTATTCTGGGATTCGGTCTGACAATTTCATCTCTCTGTGCTAATGGAATATGGCAACTTGAACCGATGTACATACGTACCAGGTTCTACGTTGTGATTGTTTGACTGACCTGGATTGACTCATTGCGTCTAATGATATCACAGTATGATGCCAGTGTAATCGAAGCTTTAGACTTGGTGTTTTTGCTTGTTGATACTCATCAGTAAGTTGTGTGTGGCATTTCAAAGATGCTGATGCCTTCTCAGAGTTGTGAGCCGCCACACTTCTTTATCATACTAAGAAACGATAGCACTGAGATATTTCAGTTATGATTGTTCAATTCAATCATTTGAAACCGTATTTGACAGACTATAGATTTAAGTCGACTAGCCTAGTTTTGTATTATTAGCATTACCTCAATTAGTCAATTCTCTTGTAATAATCTAATATATATTTACGATTTTCTCCCTGATATACATTTATTTATCTTGTATCATAACTAACTTTTAAATACGGTATTACGGACATGGTGTTCAAGGAATCTACTCAGTGTGTCGTATTATTCAATCTGTCACTTCTTGTCGTATTCTCTTACTCAATCAAACAATTCAGGAAGCTAGTGACTGATATATATGTTTCCTGTTACTACCTGTAGGAGATGCTTGAATATCTAGATGCTCTTTATGTTTGACCTTGATTACCAACCGCCAAAACTGCAGTCAATAAATGTCTGTATTTTGTTTGTGGTGTTGGTAGGCTTACAAAACACCTGCAACTGGTTTGTTAGTGGAACACTTACCAATATTTGAAGCATATCATCCTCAAAGTTGACAAGCCGTAGATTTACGTTGGTGCTCGACAGTGGACTTATCGTAATCAAAATGCTTATGCAAAATGGTCTCGCTAGTTTTTTTTTATAGAAATATTGACTTTCGTAGGTCTAATCAATGTATGAAAATTGAAAACATCCCAAAATAGGATATAATCAAAGAACAACTTTTGTGATATAATGACGAATAAACGACAAATTATGTGGTTCAGCTCCCCTAGGTTTGTTTAGTGAACTATTTAATTATCAGAGTTACACTCTACTCACTGTATTATTTGAACAATTATTAATAAATATCCCTTTTGAACGGGTAGTGGCTATCGTGGTATTGAACTTCACTGAGAATCTTAATACTGAAATGCAGATTCTTTCAGATGACGTGTCCAGGACAGAAATATAGGTGCATCTAGGATTCCACTATCCTAAGTAATATAATCCAAACAATTTTAAACGATTCAATTTATCATTTTGGGAGATTTTTCAATTTCAAGTTAGCTTTCATCGCTTGATATCTGCTGTAAAAAATCACTAAACCATAAAACACTCAGTAGGTGTTTTGTCGTAGTTTAAGATTTCTCATTAGGTGTATATATGACTATTTCAGGGATCTAAAGTTTTTCTCGAAAAAATTCAGAGGGGCACTGAAATCGTTGTGAAACATTTTATCCTATCAGCATTCAATAGAAACTTCTCAGAAACACCTAGATTGTGAAGGATCAAGTGTCACATTTCTGATTGGATGATCGCCTCTCCTGCTATGTTTATTATGGTTCCAGAAGCCCAACGTCATCCGAAATACTATAAATTCTCTCGATTTTCTTCACATAAATGAACCATGGGATAAAGCGTTCTTATTACACTTCACGGTTTTTCTTTCGTGTTCAAGTTGCCGTTCTTTCAGAAGAAATGTCAACCATTTCACAAATACGTTGGTTTCTAAATTTTTCAATACTTTGAGGAACAACATGCTGCTGCATCATAAGCTATGGACAACTGTGGCAAGTTGTTTCATAAGTTTGAAAGTGTCAGTTTCTCAAATCTGACCTATCGTTTTATTTCAACTGGGTTATCTTAACATTAATTTTTCAATCATTCACATTAATATGGTCTCATAGATAAACATTCTGCCGTTTCTTTCAACTTCTTCGTTTGTGTTGGTCAAGGACTCCAAAACATTCATCTGAAATTGAGTCCTTGTTCAACATAAAACACAAACATTGTCCTGTCTTGAGACGTTTTACTAATTTACTGTCCTGCGCAGGAAACAAATGTAAGAAAAATTCCTAATGATACAGAAACTCGGTAAAAGTTAGAAGCAAAGTATACTATCTCACGAAATTGTCTACGTCATAAAATGTTTCTTGGTAAAGATAATGCGATTATTATTTAACAGTTCGAAAAAAGCTTTCATTTTAAGTTTACATCATCTAGAAAACAAGTAAAAATCAGAAGAAATTATTTATTTCATTTAAATTTGAGACTTTTCAGCAATAATCACCGATCACCCTACACAGAAGATAAATATTAGACTGTCCAGTTTCTTGTTGAGTACGGTGTCATGAAATTGTATAACCGTAATCCAATAAAATACATTTTTATTAATTTAAGTTAATAGTTCCTTTAAATTACTCATCAGCTACAAAGAGGGTGCAAAAGAATTTCTTGATTATCCTGTAGTTTGCAACGTAAATTGCTATTTAAGAAAAACAATAAAATTTAACCTGTTTTATTGTGCGCTTGCGTACTTAGTAAATACAAGCAAGTTAATATTCTTCCCTAAGGATCTCTATGTTCGTTCATTTTGTGTTTCTCTGACTTATAGAAATCGAGAATCCAGTTTTTTGAAAGCTTAGATAACAAACAAATTGATATCATTAACAATTAATTCTGTCAAATGAATATTAACTTTAAGATAATTAAATGTAAACTAGTAAACGGAGTACAATCTTTTTTTTCATGCATCATTACAATTTTCACTAATAGTTTATGTATATATTTCACGGTCAAACATTGTTGATTGTTTATGAAGCTGGTTAGTGATGAAGTAATATAAATGGGGACAACCGAATGCATTTAATACAAACTTACAGAGTATCTTTATAAAATCTGAGAACCATATATCAAATCGTTAATTTGCAAAATGTCCACCAATTGTTTCAAAATGCCTCAGACTTCATTGTTCTTGCATTTTTATACAAATTGCATTCTATTCCCGTTCTTGCTTTCTTGATCTTCCCCATCTTCTTCTGCTAGACATTACATTTCTGACTCGCGTCATATACTACTTATATCAATATAAGTAGTACGCACCACACTACTACCAAAAAATATATGTGTATATTTCAAAGAAATAAGTGAACTTACATAATAATAACTACAACGTTTAAATAAGGTTTATTTATAGATCATTCTAGCAACGTATGAAAATATGATAATAGAATACATTCATATATTAGTTAACTATACCTTCATCAATTATATAAGAAGTAAAAAGGTTACATTTTAATACATTTAAACATGTCTATGAGAATAGGAATCAGAATATAAACGTGGTGTTGAGGAAAGATTATGTTGACAATGTGAATAGTGTACTCCTGTTGAATTAGTTGTATGCTTATGAGTATTTACATTTTCTGTTGAATTTATCTAAAAGGGAAATATTTATAAAAGAATTTATTCAGAATAAATTTGATAGTTATTTTATTTTTACCATGAAATGATATTGATGATCAAAATATTTATAAGAAATCATAATAAGTTAACCTGAAAATAAATTTGTGGAACCAATAAATTTTAAACCATTCACATAACAGTCACCTCAACGTAGGACCAGGCACATATATGCATTGGTCCAAGTTCCCAAACCTCATTAGCAAAACAAGATGAACACCGGATTCATAGAAGTAGTTAATTCACTGCTGGTAATATATAAAAGAAAGATTTTATATAAGGACATAATACATGGAGAAAGAATCAGTTTGTAGAAAGAAAGACATAAAGCCATTTTAATCTCATAGTTTAAGGGAAGATAGAAAGTGTATACACCTACGCCATTGTGATAGATTCTGAGCCATGTCACCAAGAGTCTCCAACCATTGGTTACGATAGTCACGCCAACCCCAACCAAGTAGTCTCCATCTAATAACATGGCTAAGACTAGAAGTGACTGATGACACATTTTGGTTTGGTCACCCCTAACTCTCTTCCAACCACATCCAACACTAATCAGCATTGCGCGTCGTGGTAATCGATATTCAGACATACGTAACACGTGGCCCAACCATTTCAGTCGATGAAGATTCACAACCCCATCAATTGATTTACCATCATTCCCTAATACTAACTCGGTGATCCCAGCAGATGCGAGCAATATATCTAAGATATCTGTGATCAAATACTAGTAACGTACGAGTTTCCTATATTCTTAATGGCCACGTTTCGCAGCCGTAAAGTAGGACAGAACGAACTACCGAGCAGTATACTCGTCCCTTAATTGAAAGATGGATATCTCGCCATCGCCATAGGTGACGCAAAATGGCGAAAGCTAAACGAGCTTTTCGAATCTGTGCTGAGATTTCGTCAAACACCAACCCATTAGGGCTGATCAGACTTCTAAGATAAGTGAATTTGTCAACGCGTGCGACTACTTCACTACCTATCCAGTATTGAACTGATATAGTAACAAGAATTACATATCCGTTTTGTTTATTGAAAATAGAAGTTCGGTCACGATATCGTTAAATTATCCATGTTCAATTATTCAAGTTCAGTGTCGAATAAGTGAGTAATGAAGCTACTTTAAATGATCTTGTCTGATAAAATCAAAAAAGAAGAACTGACCTTTCTTACAATTAAAATCTTATGGTATACTAAAACTCGAGTCTTTTTTAACAGTTATTTAACGGACGTTTCTCATACTTCGCTGAATCGTAATATATATCATAATATTAACAGTCCTACTAAGTGACCTGATCAAAATACGATTCAGAATTCTCATTATGAGTTTCAGAATGAGATATTTAAATGAATAGTAGTGTCTCATTCAAAAATATGTGTTTAAACAACTCAGCAACCGTGTACAAATCCACTTTCTAATCTTTCAGTTACCCTACTATGCTAAAGCTAGACATTATCGTGACCAGCAAACTTGATTCGGTTGAGTGGAGTTAAAACATAAAATAGCTATACTACTTATACCAATGCATCATGTTTATGTTTTCGTAAACATTCTGCATTTGATAGATTAACTAAAAAGCAATAACTTATGTAAAATATGTTATATTAGGAAATATGTTATCCCAAATTGTAGTGAACGAGGACATGAGTGGGGACAATCGAATGTACCTGGGCACAAGATTAAAAATATCTGAGATCTATACAACAAATAGTTAATTTGCAAAATATCAATCCACCGTCTCAAAATTGACAGTTCCATTGTCTCAGATTTCATTGTTCATGCGTTTTCATACCAATTGCGCTACGTTCCTGTTCTTTCCTTATCAATCTACTGAAACACATCCTACCCCTGACCATCGTTATATACTACTTATGTGGATATAAGTAGTTGTTCAACTATTATATGAAGTACAAACAGCTTTAAAAAAGATAAGTGAGAAACATGAGAAAAATATAAAATAGTTTACCTGATTACCGGTTTGATGTCGGTGAACTAAGATATTAACCATAGCTGTAGAACCATTTGGATAGCTCCCAGTAGGTATTCCATGCTGTACAGTTTGAGGTCTTGGATATGATGATAATTTATTTTGTTTCACCGTAGAATAAAAACGATTTGATGTATTTCGTGAACTTAACATCTTTTTAGCATTTTCAACTGTCGTATGATTTTTTCCATCATACAAGCTGCGGTCGGGTTTTTCATGTTTAGAATTCGTAGAGTTTATATTGATTCGAAAAGATGTGTCGTAATTTTTGTTCGGAGCTAAATCTTTGTTTGGTAACCATTTGTTATCCTGCATTTTATAGAAATGGAAATGATCCCAGAAGTTATCAAAATACAGGGACGTTTTTCAGTGAATACAAATATTTCTATAGTCAAACTGAGCACATCTTTCAGGTGTATCCAGAAATCAGAAAAAATCATCCCACATTCTATTCGATGCTTTACAATACGATACTGTGAGATAGCAGTGAACAAAACCACCGAATTGAATGAATTTAGTGTTATTCTGGTACATTCATTTAGTGACGAGACATATGTATCACGATATACTATCAATTTGGAGACCACTAGATAAGTTATTTCTCTGAAGTCTGAGTTTTAGGATCTCTGTAAACTACTGATTTTATTTATTAATTTAAACACATAAACATTGGTACAAAAAGGCACCAAATACATATGCGCCACACAGATCTCATTTGATATGTGTGAGGGCTGTGATACTGTCCGGGGTCCCGATCCGAAACAGGTGGTTTTCTTAGGGAGCCACACCAGGATTTTTCGATCTAAAGGTCTGAGAAACGTCAGGAGATGCAGTCCCATGGTAGCCGGTGACCAACAATTGGTTCATACGTCATTTGTTCCTTAAGGATACTGGAGCCCATGTGCACCATTTGTTTAGAATCAGGTTTTCACAACTCCTCTAGGTGAACCGTCCATATTCACCAACTCGGTTAAAGTGCCGGACATTCGCTTTTCGTTCTCTCAGTTTCGTAAACACCCCTGCCACGAGAAGGCAGTGAGTAGGACTTCGCTGGTAGTGGTTGTGTGCACGTGGCCATGTGAGATCATTTCGTGAGGGAGAGATGACTCTCTTCACTCTCGGTCGTACCAGGGCATTTGCTTAAAAACGTCCATGGAATTCATAAGCTTCAGTACTCAAACTTTTTCTATCTCAATAACAGGTTTTTATTGATACTATAATAGGTATCACTTACTGATGAAATTTATTTTTAAACATGGTATCATCGGTGCTTGATGTAAATATTTCAGAAAAAAACTAAATCACCTTAAACTAAACAACAACAACCATGTATCATCTTTTAAAATACAAACAATCAGATAAATTTTACATTAAGTAAATTGTAAAACTATAAAACATTTCGGTTAAGGAAAAATGCTAGACGTAGCTTAAGTTTTTCAAAATGAATTTTATCAATTCCATTATATATTGAAATAATAATACTACTACTACTAAAACTAGTCGAAAAAAGGAATGTCAATGTACCTTACTTATAAGCCGCAATCAAGTTGTAAAATCAAGTTGTTTCCTTGTATAATAAATTTTTGTCATAATCATGCTACTTAACAACCTTAGTAATTTACCTTCCCTCTTACTAACAAATGGTGTTTTTATTGTATTCCATGATACAGTAAAACACAGGAAATTCATAAATTTCTTTGAGTAGTCTTAATTCATTGATGGGATCAATTATTCTGTATTCAGTGATAATAAATCGAAATAGAACATTATGAAATTTATATAAAGACAATAGAAAGGAAACATATAAACATTAGTTTGCTTTATTAAACAAATAGCATACCATCTGATTGTCATGTTCTAATTCACTTGGATCTGAATTAGATATTTTCTCATCAACCTGGTATGGTAAACTTTGAATTGTATGTAAATGACGATCATGCATCTTATATGTCGGTAAGCCAGATAAGTTCAATGGATCGTTCTCACTGTAATCACTCTAAAATAAATTAAGTAACGCTGGTAATAATTGAATAAGTGGTAAGTTATTTGTAAAAATTGATTCAAATTAAACACCTATGAAAAGCTTTCTGAGCTATCTTGAGAAATTTGTTGACAATATATAACCCTTATTGGTTTTCCTAGTGATTCATCAAGCGATACTGTTTGGTGATAAAAACATTAAAATAACAATTTGATTTTGTAAAATGATCAATCTTCAATGAAAAAGACAACACCTGACAAAAATACATAAGAACTTCTAGATATGGTACATTAAAACTCGAGTCTTTTTTAACAGTTATTTAACGGACGTTTCTCACACTTCGCTTAATCGTAATATCCATCACAATATTAACAGTCGTACTAAGTGATCTGATCACAATACGATTCAGAATTCTCATTATGAGTAGTAAAATGAGATATTTAAATGAATAATAGTGTCTCATTCATTGCCTTCCCGCGGTGGGGGTGTTGTTTAAAAAATTGAGAGGACGAAAAATAAATGTCCGACACTTTAACCGGGTTGGCGGACATGCAGAGTTCACCTAGAGGAGTTGGAAAAACCTGATTCCAAACAAATGGTGCACATGGGCTCCAGTATCCTTAAGGAGCAAATGGTGCATGAACCAATCGTTGGTCACCAGCTAATACGGGACTGCATCTCCTGACGTTGGTCCACTTTATCGTGGATCAGACCCTTAGGTTGAAGGCTCGTGTGTGGCTTCCTAAGAAAACTACCTGTTTCGGTTTGGGCACTCGGACAGTATCATAGTCCACGCACAAATCAAGTGACTTGCATGGTGCATATGTATTCGGTGTCGCCTTGTACCAATATTTATGTCATCATATAATAATAATACTTCTAGATATTAGTTAGTTTTATTGTGGTGTATTTATTGCAATCATAATAGAAAACGAAGAAAAATAACTTCATGAAGATTTTGTTGATCGGCCCTACTTGTTCATATGTGATTTATCTTCCGTTCTGAGTACTTCAATAGGAGATAATGCAACACATTTAAAAAATTAAACAAAAATACATTATTTTCTGTTCAGTAACCAGTTTATGCATCAGGGAAATTAACATCTGTTCTGTATAAGTCACTCAGAATATTACGTTTTATCTTCAAGTGTAACGTATGAAAAATATCTAATTATTTTCCGTACACATTAGTGCCCACTTTCAAAATTACAATATTATGCTACTCGGTCACTAATTAATCCAAAAGATTCTTTAAAGCTTACGTACTTACAACTTAGAATACATGAATTCAATGTTTACGTTCTTCTCATTAAATTTCATTCTACAGTGTTATTCATTTTCATGGCTTTTAATACACCTGAATACAATCTGGTTTATTATATAAAAACCTATTACACTGTAATATATATTGACGTAAAAGCTGTAGTCTGTGTAAAGAATACAAGGGGTTTTCTACTGTTCGTCTTTCTTGACAAAAGTAACTATCCTAAGCTACTGACATCCATCAGTAACATTTTATGCTAAATAAGAACAGATTCACAGAGCAAACAGACTGTGATAATTATAATACACTGTCGTTTCCAATAGTAGGAATATCCAAGCATTAAAATCCTTTTTTAAAAAAATTAAGATTATTTTCCTTATATTACAGTGACCGCCTTTCGTAAGCCTTACATAGTATGATGCTGGATGCCTGAAGGCGAATGCCAGAAAGCTAGGAACTAAATTTTAAGTTCGTATGGATATCTATAAACTAATGGAAACTGATGACTTTTTCTTTTGGATTCAACCCCTTATAATGCAGTGCTACAATCATAGAAGTTATTGCTAGCCTATAAGAGTTGCGATTGACAGCCTATAGGACTGAGATATTTAAACCGATTGACTACTATGTGGAAAGTAATGTCGCATCGCTCTATCCTTAGTGGACAAATAGTGTATGGAAAATCCCATAATAACAACAGTATATTTAGTAAATTCACCTACGTTCGTGATTTTTAAGCACTAGTCTTAATCGTTAATGGCTACTGACAGTGTAATATCATATGTTAACTTTGACTTTGGACAATGGTTAAAAATAATGTCAAATGCTAGAAATGAATTGGATCTACAAATCGCCTAATTTTTTGACGAATCTCGTTTAATTTAGTGATTGGAATTTTATCAACATTTTTAAATGGATTTATGTCTAGATCTTAAATAATTAAGGTACATTGTTTGTTTTTGGGTTTAAAATCCAGCCTTAACAAATGGATGTTTGTTGGGTACTAAATTTTGATAATAGGTGCTTAAGAATAATATTCCAGTATGTTTGGACTATCGAGTAAGCAATACCGAAGTTTAATACAGGGTGACGGAGAAGATTTGTAGCTCAGGTGGATGATTTTGACGGAGATAGAAGTCTATCTGAAGTTTGTGCTGATGATGTCTTTCAGAAGAACGATGAAAGCTCCACGACCAGACCATCCGGCTTGGAGAAAAAACTCCGTCAAAATGTAATACAGGGTATTAGATAAAGATGGGCAGTCAGTTGATGAAGCAGTGAATCTCCATCGATTGAAATGTTTAGGACACATTACGTGTTTTTAACCTCCGATTACCTCAGCGAGAGATATTTGCTTGCGGAGGAGTAGGTTGGAAGAGGCCTAGGAGCGGCCTAACCAAGATGTGACATCAGGTCTTGAAATCATTGACTGAACTATATTGATAGGTCCAAACTAACTGGTTAGAAACGCTGAGTGACATTATTCTTAATCGATCAAACCGTCCAGGTATACTTGCCCTTTGTCTCCTCTTAGATCTTAAGTTTTCAAACTGATTTATTCCCTTTTATTTCGCGAACTCACGAGTCGTAGAATCGAATTCCGTATGTCTATTCCTTTCTACTACTATGAGTACGGCTATCGTTTCTAATATTCTAGTATTTGTCTTGATATATTGATCTTGTTGTGCGACCGTAAATTAAACCGGTACACGTATTTGCCAGGCTCTATGCTGTTTAGAATTGATAGGGAAGGTTCGTTCACAGTTTCCCAGGTCTTTTTTAAATATCATACAGCTGATTTCAATCCGTGATGGAAACTGTCTTTAAAAAATAATTATGTAGACCGTGAACTCACTGATGAAGTGTTGTAAAATATTTAAAAATTTGATCATGATTTGAAATGAGATCATTGGCAATTTCGAGTTATATCTCATAACTTATCCAACCAATGAATTTTAAAATTCATGAGACTTTAACAGAAAAACTCACGATTCCGTAACATTAATTCAGATGATGAACTGAACAATAATAATATCTGAAGCTTTTTGTTTGGTGACATAAAAATTCACAGATTTTTTGTTAAGTACAGACAATGTACTATAAATAAAAAAAAGGTGAACACATCGATAAAATTAAACATAAAATACATTCAACAATATAACTCACATGACCTAACCAACGTTCGCAAATTTCCGTGGAATGACTAAGTGGTTTTTCGCAGTTGCCTTTTCTTACCACATTACTATAAGATGGTTCAACATTACGAATTGTATCTCTTGGCCATGCCTCCATAGAATTCTGTCTGTTCTGATTAGAGAACTCAGTGTCTTAATAAATATAAAGGACAATTGGGATATTCAGTTTATTGTATAACTACAGTAATACTGCAGATATTTACTCAGTTAAGGCCAATCTAATGGAATATACAGTTTTATTCTTAAGGGTAAATATTTTTCTATATGTTTATGCTATGTATGGTGACGAGGTGAATTTATGTCGATCATATATCGCATTTATACACCCGGAGATTTCTAAAATATCTGATAACGTAAAACCAGTCCAATAAACGACAGAAAAAAAAACACCGACTGGCTTTTATTTCCCATTTTGAGCTTGTTTCACAGTGAATAGTTTTAACACTTATTGCTATTGAATTCATGAAGTTTGACTAGATTACATATTAAGGATTGCGTGAAAAATCAATCGTTTTACAAACTGTCGACTAAGCAACTATGCATTGTCTAAAATCGACTGAGTTTGAGTAATAAACTTTCTAAGTTTTGCTTTGTAACGTTGAGTCGCGATGAAAAAACTATGCTGAGGTCCTGCATACAAACTTTTCAATCTCTCTCGGTGTTAGAATTATGCAATATACAGATTCAGAATAAGTTACATAAACTATGCTTCAGTATTGAACTTAGTGAGAAATGTGAGCTTGATGGATCTTATTAAGAAGAGTTTGTTTATACGAGAAAACAGTTATCCTACTCATTAAGAAATGGATCTTTCCTTTTCGCTTTATTTATTGTTAGAAACTACGAATATCGTCCAGACAATTTTTAGGGTAAAGTAAATTTTGTAAATCAGAAAAATATCCACAAAATGAACTATAAAAACTATATTAAGTTTATCTAAAACTAACTTCATCATTTGTAGCGTAAATTACGAAACACATAAAATTGGCCAAAACAAAACTACAGCACAATGCCTAAGCGCGTGCGGACACATGAATACATCTAGACACCATCAACTGCACTAGAACACGCACACACAAGCAAACGAAGCAACAATGACCTTCAACCTATTCAATACTTACGATAGCCGTTTGTATGTTGCAGCATTAAGGCTAAAACGTTTGTATACTCACTACTTTGATGAGTGGCTTGCATAATATGATCAGCTTGTATGTTGAAAATCATCTCATCTGATTGATTGTGAATCGTTTTATCTAAATGACAACCGTTTAATTTCTTCGATGTCAACTGAGCCAATTCCAAATGATCATCTGTACAATAATTTTTGTTTAAAATTTGAGAATCAACAGTAAACTTTTTATTTATAAATTCTTTATTCATATTTGGCAGAGTTTCATTGAATACAGCCATTGTTTCCATATTTAATGCACAGACACCACGCATTAATGCTGTTTTCAGTGCAGCTTGTTCACCGGCTTGTTTGGCTTTCATTGATTCTAATTCACTTTGACTAATTTTTAACTCAGCCTCCAGCTAAGTATTTTTAAACAGAAATACAAAGAAATACATATAACAACAAATGAATTGGTAAATTTTTTAAAAAAAAATATAATCTCCAAACTAATTCATTGTGAATATTTATAAAAATAAATCTATCAAGTTGGTACTTTGTTTTTATCTTAACAACAAGTAGTTAGCTACCCTAGACTTTTTATAAATATGATCTTTATACACATTACTGTTAATAGAATGGTCATTTAAACTATTGTAGTGAATAAGAACATGAGTGGGGACAATCGAATGTATTTGACATCAATCTACAGAGCATCTTACTAAAATCTGAGAACTGTGCAATAAATCAGTACAGGAGTTGTGGAGGTTATTAAGTTTTTGATTGTGATCATGAACCACCGTTGGAAACCTGGAACCATTGGACGGTCGTTTCGTCATATTGCAGGACTCATCAGCAGTGCGCGTCCAAGATCCTGCTCGCAGGATTCGAACCCAGGGCCTTCATTCTTGCGCGCGAACGCTTAACCTACCCGACCACTGAGCCGGCATTCAATGGTGATAGTGTCTAAATAGTTAATTTTCAAAATATCAATCCATTATCTTAAATTTCATTGTTCATGCATTTTCATACCAATTGCGTTTCGTTCCCGTTCTTTCCTTATCGATCTTCTAATGAAATACATTCTATGCTTGACCACCACTATTTACTACTTTTGTGGATATAAGTAACCCACACCACACTATATTCTATTGTTGGATAATCACTACTGTAGACCATGTATCATTAGAAAAAAAATTCAAACAAAAACTCATATCTACATGCAATTGAAGTAAACTAATAAAGCTCTATGATAATTGTAAGCGTAAAGTAGTCTGAAGCAACCGAAATGTATACAAAGATGTAGCATAATTAATAAGCACATTTTAAAGAATAACACTCCAATCAACAGTGTGATGACAAAATCTAAAAAATACAATTTAAAAAATACTTTAGCGGTCTGCTTGAATATCTGGGCTACCTGTTTCTGACATCAACATATCTCAACAAGTTACCTATCTTTCGTCTGTCTTAACACGTCATTATGGCTCATAATCGCATAACCTATTTAGGCGCGTTTATGAAAAATTTACAATCTTTCACCGTACAACTTACAAAAAAGTACAATCAGAGACATTGTGTTGCATGTCAATGTGCATTGAAAAGAATGATCTATTTTCAAATGTCGATTCCTGAACTGTTAACATCTAACTAGTGTTAACTCAATATTTATCGTCAAGATAGATGAAGAAATAGGGAAAGAAAACCTGATGAAATACTTTGTGCTGAGAATTCTGTATTGTACCGAAAATATAATATTGAATAAATTCATTAATAATAATAACAGCAGATAGATAGATTGTATTATTGTCAACTGAACATTGATGGTTGTTCGATCATATAAAACTCAAAAAGAAACTAGTCGAGTTCAATAAGTGAAATGAGTTAGTTAACCTTTATTGTTTCTATCTGAAATATAATTATGGTTTAACAAAATAAAAACTAAAAAATTTTTTAGAGTAAACTAAATAAGATTATACATCTGTTCATTGTTTACTTGAAGAATTTTTTGATTTAATTCTTGTTTAATTTTGATACATTCAGACTGAGCTTCCAAAGTAAGTCGTCGAAAATTTCTTTGTTTCCAAGTGTATTCCATGAATTGTTTCCATCCAATAATTGCTTGTTTTAAAATATTTTGTTTATAATAACGATCAGCAAGTTTGACACAAAATGACTAGATTATGAAATTTAAAGAAAATAAATAAAAATTTTAATTCACTTGGTATTGTTTGCTTGTATCGCCCTATTGTTGTTCAGAACTGCAATTGTTCGATCACTTATTAGCATATATGCATTCTGTATGGATTGCCTCCATATTGACTTAAGTCATAAACATTATAAGAAAATATGGATAATGGTTAGCAGCGGAGTCTCGAATAGAACGAAACGTGCATCCTAGATTCCGCTACTAGCCACCATCGATATTTGCTTATAAAGACTATGAATTTTGTTTATTTTTCCCATAAAACAATATGGAAAATGAAGATACATTATGTAGACAAAAATTTAAATATCTGAATACAGCCTTCGTATGATATTGTCGTCCATAAATTATCTGGCATTTGTGACAATCTTGACTTTTAACAAAAGTAGACGAAATTTAAACAATGATAACATGAAAATTCACTATTAATGTCTCAGTTAAGAAAATATTATTTAATATAAATTACTATGCGTCAATAATATGCTAAAACCCTGGCATGACTAGTTAGCTAATTTGTGCTAATTCAAAAACATCCAACAGAGAGAACTTATGATCCTATTTGGGTTCAAATGGTCGACCTTCAGGTTTTCAGAATAACACGGTATCCCTAAACCTTTCGACTTTAGTCAATCTATAATGAAGTAAGGTCGTCATTAAGAAATACGTGAGAGAGCACTATAATAGTTAAAGCCGTTTGTGTAACTTTTTCAATGTTTAATTAAAGGTCGAGAGGTTATATATATAGCCAATATAACTTCCTTATTAATTCTTAGCTTTCTCGCTGATGTACCATGTTAGACTCGGCTATAGAAAACATATATATTAACATTTGACTGGACGACCGTCGAACGTACTACTAATTATATGTCATCGATTATTTACTTCTCTGACTGATGAACGAAGAATTCGTCGTATCAGTGGACTCGACACAATACATTTTAACACATTTAACTTATTGGATCTAGAAATTCACGGTATATATAATGACCAAGATGATTATTTCCAACTAGGACTGAAATTTAATATTCAGTACTTTACACTTCAATTCTTTAACTCTAAAATGCATTTTAATATCTTATTGATAGTCTTTAAAACCTTAAAACTGATTAAGTTGGTGTCAATAATCATAAGTCCAGATTTAAGAAAATCTCGTCTTGAAGTGTCAATACAAAATTTAAAACAAAGAAGTGAGATACATAATATATCTGTTTTCTTTTGCATCATTTTATCATCCCATCAATCGAAAATATTTTATAACATTTGAAATTCTTTTTCCAAATAAACAAATTAAATAATATATATTGGATATAAGATGTTCCATAAATAGCTAAATGGCATTTTAGTACATGACTTTTAGATAGAAATCATGAACATATTTTAAGTCGAATCAAAATATTAACTTTTAACGAAACATTTTGAAATAAGATTAGATCAAAGTCAAAATATATATTTTGTTGTCGTTGTTACCAAACAGATTAAAAGACAATAAATGACATCTAACCTGAAATGTTATCACTCATGTGAATGTACTTATACAAGTTAACAGGAAGTGTACACTAATGATCAAAAAACGTAAAAATCGATTAAATGTATTATGATTGAGATCAAGAACCGATTGATGTTAGACCACCACCTTTGGGACCCTGGAAGCACTGGACGGCCGTTTCGTCTTATTATGGGACTCCTCAACAGCGTGCATCCACGATCCCGCTCGCGGGATTCGAACCCAGGGCGTTCGGTCTCGCGCGCGAATGCTTAACCAACTGGACCACTGAGCCGGTGTATCCAATAGTGATAGTGTCTAACATCAACCAATCCACGAAATTGCGGGATCGTGTATGCGCACTGCTGAGGAGTCCTACAATGAGACGAAACGGCGTCCAGTGATTCCAGGTCTCCAAAGGTGGTGGTCTAACATCAATCGGCTCAGGATCTCAATCAAAAACTTAATAATCTACACAACCCCTATACTAGTAAATGTTTTATTACATAATAAGTTTATAAAAAAATTTTTTAAGATGAAACAATACTTACCTTTCTTTTGGCATTTTCCTTTTTCAACTTTATTTCCATTTGAATTTTTAACTTATTAATATTATCCGTTAAATCACAGATAATCTGTTCTTTACGCGCTATTGTACCTTCATGATTACGTGCAAGATCTCTTAAACTGATCACTTGTTCATGAAGCTTAATCATATCACTTTTTATACTAAAAATGATAATAAGTTTTAATTAATAACTTAATAATTTAATAGTTGAATTCATGAGTCAATTAAAGCTAGACCACCATGGAAAACCTGAAAGCACTGGACAGCCGTTTCGTCCTAGTATGGGACTCCTCAGCAGCGCTCATAGTGTAAAAAATTGCTATGCTATTAAATTAATTTTTTCTTAAAAAAACAATCCATAGTAGATAGCTATTTTTCACATAATTTGAGGCTTTACACTGATATGCATTTACTATTTCATACTTATATAGAGTCGAATTTTTAATTGATAAAAAAATCGAGTTCTATGTGAAGATACCTAACTGTATATGGAATTGAAGAACTATTATATATCAGTAACTGATTAAAATTTGAAAATAAGGATCACTGACTATTAAATCCATGTTTTAAATGTAACATGCTTTCATTAAAGCATTAAAATCATGAGTTCAGTCCTTTATAGAATCAAGAATGTGTATAGTTGGGAAAGTTTTAATTGAAAGAGCTGCTCATCACAAAATGAATTGAAAAATAAACCTTTCTAACAGTCGTAAATTTATAGATGGAAATTATCTGTTTGAAATAAGGCTAGAAGAAATATAACATAAGAATAATGTGAAAACTATAATTAAAAAATAAGTAGATAAATAAAGCATCCTGTAATGGCATTTCATATATTGTCAGCTGATTGAATTAACCTTTAAATGTTAGCAAGAGGTGAATTAATATAAATAGATTAGACTAAAATTTGAATAATTAAGCAATATGTTATTTCTTATTAATCTGTAACTCGCCTTTGTTAATGTTAAAAATAAACAGAGAGGGGTTTTGTGAATATTATAATAATTTAATATTTGAAATTCGTGAGTCAATTGACTCATCATATGCTCACTAGCGGCGGTCTCCAAGAGGTATTTTTTGGAGTTCTAGTGAGAAGCAGTGACCAGTAGAGTTCAACCGGGTCTGATGTGAGATAGTAACTTCCTGAAGACAATGGTGGGTGTGTCTCTCAATTTTGTGGATTAGCCGAAGTTCGACATTAACACCGCCGGATGCCGGCTTAGTGGTCTAGAGGTTAAACGTTCGCGCGCGAGACTGATATGTCCTGGATTCGAATCTCGGGAAGTGGGGTCATGGATGCACACTGCTGAGGAGTCCCATACTTGAACGAAACGACCGTCAATTTTTCCAGGTTTTCCATAGTGGTCTAGCTTCAATTGACTCATGAATTCAACTATTAAATTATAAATAAACCATTCAAATTTAGCCTGTTTGTGGAAATAAGATTACTTCTCCCAGTGTTATAGTTTGCGACTATTATTGATCAATTTGGTTATGTATGATTAAAAGTAATCACGTTATAAATTTATTGTAGTATAGCACTGACATCCATAATTCAAGTTATTTTAAGAGTTAATAAAGATACATTGTTAATAAAATTTACCAATGTGTTCAATGGGTTGAGTAAAAACTAGTGATGTTAAGTAAAATTTCAATATAATAAAGGTCAGTAAAACCGATCACACAACAATTAAAACTGTATACTTTTACCAATGGGTGGCAGGTTCATAAACATAATGTATTGTAGTGTAATGGTATTTATGAACGAAATATTACTTTACCTGAACTAAATAAGCTGATGTACTTACCAAAATATAAGATATTTAATTAGTCGTATATAATATAGAAAATAATTCGTAATTTTTAAATATCAAAAGCTTTACTTAATTAATTAAAGGTTCTACCTAATTTCTAATTGTTCCTTACCTACTGGTATTTTCATTCCCGTGCATAAATTTAATAACTTTCGTCTGCCAATTTACTGGTTTTTGTCAGTTGTCTGTCAGTTAAACTATTATAGTATTTTTAGTCACCACTTTTCCATGCCGTGATCTGATCTCTTTTTTTCATATTTCATATTTCAAAATATTAAAAATTCTCATATTTTAAATTAGAATAACGTATATGAGCGAAAAATATAATTTTCAATTAGGTATTCATCAAGCTCTACTTCAAGCCTTGACTTACTTCCTATGTTGAGAACTATTGTTATTTTTGTCATTAATAACACACTTAGTATCACACTATCAGTTTATACCTTTCACTTATTGTATTTGGTTATATAATCTATTTTATTGTTAACATTAACTCATAAGTAGCGTGAGTTAGTTTAATATTTTTATGTATGCTTGTAAATATTTCTATATATTAAACTAAAACCTGATGAAGTTTTGGGTAAAAACAGTGTTTTTGGTCGATAATTGATCTTTTAATTTACCGTTGTTTGCCACAGTTATGTAAAAAAACAAAACTTATCATGACACGGTTACTTATAACATAAAATATTGAAAAACAGTTTAATTGTGTTACCGTTTTAGTTCAACTGAAAAAAGACTTTTAACAGATGACATGATTTCTTCCTGAACTGATTGATAATGAACCTAAAAACAGTAAAAGAAGGTTTTGTAAATCCATCTACCTGTCAGAATCTTACTTCATATATATAGAAAGAGAGATAGACCAAATTTAATCTCAAAGTTACAAATATTACCTCGATCTAAAGCAAAAGACAACTATATAACAGCCGATAAAATGTATAGCTCTCATTCTTCTAGAAAAATAAACGACTATAAATCCGCGTGGAATGCAAATAATACCCACCACATTTGTGTTAAACTAACTAGTGATAAAACCTCAGCTGAATTAAAGAAATAGCAAAACCATATATTTCAAGGATGGAGTAGGAAAAACGTTATTAGCTAGTCTCTTCAAATGAAAAAGTCCTCCCAAATCTATAGCATTTAAAAAGACTGATAATAAATATTTTTATATGATATACAATAAACACGAAGTATTTGTTACATTTTTATTAGTACACTTTGTAATCTTTTTTCTAGTACATGGACAAGTGAATATGCTTTGTTGTATTCAGAACGATACAGATACAGTCATTTTTTTATTGTATGGTCATTCTTTTATGACTTTCCAGTTAACTTGAACAATATTTAAAGCGTGACCTAATAAAACTGCAGATATCTAATGTGGTATATACTATCATAGTTCACGATATTCATGAAAAATGGTACATTTATAGGTAACGTAGAAAGTTATTTGCTATAAACCCGTTTCAAAAGTAAATGAATAGAAACTGTTTTATACCAAACCACAACAACTTGGCTTTGTCTGCTCTTAGATCTAAAACTTAGACGTTTGTGCAGATTGAATTAACTTGGTTTTTCGAATGGCCAAGTATACTTGCCAAAAAGTAACTAAAATATCAAAGTTTTAATAATAAAACTGCTGAGAAATAAATACAGAAACTTTCCAATACCAATCAAAGTAAATTCACACATAAAATTGAAATCAACCTGTAATTATGACTAAGAAATCTGCATAAGATGTGCGCTTTATATATAAATCAACAGTGATATTTTCTTTAAGTGAAAAACACAAAAAATTATATGTGACATAATATGAAAAATCGTTTACACCGTAGTTTGAGATTATAAGCTGAGAAATAGAAAGACGTTTCGTAAAACTCATACAAAACGTGGCAAATATAAAAAATCATAGAAGAAAGTTAAGTCATCTGATATAAAATACTTATGTTTATATAAAAAATTCTAGTCATCTTATCCTCAAAATAACTGTGCAAAATTACAGTAAGGTCAAACTATAACATCACTGACAAAGTAGCTTTTTGTGGGCTTCTATTACCTTAGTGTTAATACAAAGATGAGAATCGTCAAACCACGTGAGTTAAAATACTCATGTTTGCAGTTATTGAACCACTTTGGCACTGATATGACGAAGTTGGGTAACACTATGTACGAAGATTTTCCACGTTTTGTAGAACTTAAACAATATGCAGAATATCTTATACAAACCAAAAGCCTAAGCCATCGTTACAATTTTGAAGGTTTGATACATGCTAAATATTTGTCTAGAACCATTTCAAAGAATGTTAGTTTATGTATCATAAACTAACATTTTAAAAAATCAACGTGCATCTATGTTTCTCGAAAAAAGAAATACTAGTTGAATGGATTAAGAGCTCTCAAAATAAGGCAAATATTTACGTTATGAAACTTGCTAGTGAAACAAGACTATGGAATCATAAAACATTTCAAAATAAATTTTAAATAAATGAAAATGTTGCAGATGACAATTAAATTTTGAACGCTAAATTACTTGATATTCAAGGAATTACAGTGAGAAAATGTAACTTCTCTGTTTTGTTGATTTCGAATTTTATCGCCAAAGATATTCAGTTATCAACCTATATTACGGCTTACCTCGGGCACGCTTTGCCCTGATTGTCTGAAAAGTTACTAATACAGTCATTTCAAAGACCACTATCGATTTGTGTGATGGAATGATTCGATATAAAACTCTTTACTCCTCACAATGAGCATGAGGTTTACAAATTCGTTGACAAGTGTATTCACTACTTAAACATATAAACCTAGACTGTACAATACATATTTAGCAGCTGTTCTGAATACATATAGCAATCTGAAAACACTAATAGTCGAACATGTGTCATCAAGTCTTTCTACGGTAACCGGGCTTTACAAAAGAAAATAGGTGTTTTACTCCTCAATTATGAACATCAAAGCGATGCGACCAAATAATAAGAGAGACTCCGTTAGTACTATTTATTTACGAAAAGTCATTCCACATAGATAAAATGTTCTATTATATAATTATTTAAGATGTAGTTTTAATGGATAATACGTCATTAGTATTATTATTTTCATAACCGTAAACTGATAATCACACCGATAACGACCAACATTGGGTCTATTAAATGCATAAATCATTTGAGAAACTACAACTACTGTGCTGAAAACTGTACTTTGTAAGCAACATTTGGTTTTGTATTCCCTTAAATTGCGATGAATAACTACCTGGACAGTAAACAGTTGTAAGTCTTAGCCTTTCAAAATAGGTTTTATTACCGTAAAACGACTGAGTAAATCTTTTTACTTGAAGTTCCATCAGTGTACAGAAGCGATTACTAAAATAACTGAAGCAACATTTGAGCTTGATAAAAGTGTCACCATCAAGAAGCTGATTCTGGAAATTTAGCTACAGTCCCACAGGAAGCTATAATCAAAATGATTGTTTCATTATCATCTAAGGTCATTGTATTAATTAATTCTAGAAAAACAAACTTTAAGAAATTTTCGAATTCTATGGAAATGGGCTATAGATATCTTTTCATTCACCCCAAACATATTTTAACTCGATTCCTTATCTAGTTCCATCTCATAATGAACATCACTGTCATGTAAACAAAGTAGTAAATTATTTTATAATTCGTTGGCTAAGGGATTCCCCAAATAAGATATATAGGTTGTAAGTTCAACAATCAACATCAACCTTTATGTTTAACTGAAAAAAATAACTCACAGTCAAATTTTCTTTAAGTTTTGATGCGGCGTGATCATAGATTGTATTTATATCACTAAGCTTAGTGTCAGAAAAGAGCTTTTCATGCTTTATCTTATCAAGATCAATTAGTTCATGGGAATAATCACATATTCCTGTCATATATTGTTTGGAATGTAAATATATTGAATCAAGACGTCCATTAGATTCACTGC